TTTTTTTTTTTTTTTTTTTTTTTTTTTTTAATTTGTTCAGCCGAACACGTTCGGGTGGCGTTTGGCCTAACACCCCAACATGTTCGGGCGTTCGGAAAGCTCCGAACATATTCGGTGTGCTACACAGGTAGAAAGGTAGCATTATTTCATACTCACTCAAGCTTAGTTTGAGCATAAACCTGTGTTGTGTCACCAATCCTCTTCGTTTACATGATTCAAGGTTGATCAGTTTCAGCCTCATCCTACGAAAATCATTTTCAGTTATCAATTGGTAACAGGTCGGTTTACGATTCAATTCCAGCTCGCTTCTGCAACTGAACCTGGGCCTTAGCCCCTATAGGTTGAATTGTTTCTTTGGGGTTTTACTCGGACTTTTATAAAATGACAATTTAAAAAGGGACAAAGTGCTTTTCTGTTTGGAGGGTTGGTCAAAGGTTAGGGTTTGTATGAATAAGGCAAGGGGTGTGAGTGCAGAGAGTGGTTGAAGTTGACCCCGTGTAGTCTGTGGTTTGTCCATGTTGAATCTTTGCGTGATTTGCATGTATGTTTTTGGATTTTGGGTTTGGATTTGACCTTGTCTGCGATCATTTTAACAATTTGAAGGAATTCACACCACGATTGTGAAAGTCATCGTCTCGTGTCCACTAACTCATTATATTTATATCATGTGTATGCACGCGGTCTACCTTGACCGTGCGCAAGGATGGAGTGGATTTCAAGTGAGAGAAAAAGAGAGATCCTTTTTATTTTCCTTGTTATTTTTTTTTATATTTGGACATTGATGTCTGTGACGGCTATCAAATCCAAACACCTTCACCTATCCGAAGGCCTCCGAGATAAAGCCTCATTCCCGGAATCAAAAGCGTTTGGCCGCCACAAGGGGGTTGAAGTTCGCCTACCACCCCTCTCAGCAGTGTGCAGAAGAGAGTGCATCTCGCAATCTCGCAATCACATTAACGATTGTTTAGCATCACGAGATTAACCTCTCAAGACGCATGTCAGCCAACACTTAAGAGTGTCGAAAGCAACCATAAAAACCATTGAGAACATAATGACTATGGGTACCACATAGTACACATTCATTGCGACTACTTATGTATTTATGCATGGCTAGTCAATATGATCAGGCCTACCTTGTCGCGATATTTATTTAAAGTCTCCCGCGCCACTCTGCGCACTTTATCGTCGAAAGGTTATAGGTGGGAAGTGAACAAGGGGCTAGGCTCAAATTACACATGAACCTTGGTTTATTATGCGAAGTGTATCACGTGGTCAGAGTTAGTCGTCCTAGACGACCGGTGTAGGATCGCGTCCGGGAGATCAGCGCCTCATACGACGATTCGCAGACGGCTCCGATACGGGCATTAATCACACGTACCTCCTATGCTACAACGAGCGAGAAACACCCTCGGCTGGGTCACCTCTGCGATTGCATATGAAAGTCTTCAAATGTGGTTTGATGACTCAGTGGGGATACGTCCACCTAACGGATGGTGACAACTCCCCCAAGTGGAGGTAAGTTGTCATGTGGTCCTATCTTGTCGTTGGGGTTCGTCAGATGTATGGTTGATGTACTCAGGTGGAGCGGCAACACTTTATGCGACAAGTCCTGCAAAATCCTGTATCACGAGGTCGGGAGGGCCCCCCTGCAGGCCAATGCGCTCAACACCATAATAATACTATAATGACAATAACAAAGGCATGAAAGGTCATGCTGTCCGGATTTGATGGGTGATTGAATTGGTTAGGCTTAAAGAATTATACTTAACATATATAGATAAAGAAAAGGCTAGTCACCATGACAGTTCCTTTAGCAGTTGGCCGATTGATCACGCATATGATTTTTATGTACTAGCCCCCTATGAGACTCAGCAGGTGCGCCTCCCCCCAATAGACTAGAGCCCCCTGCAAGATAGGTATGAGTACATGTGCTCACCATCATTTCTATAT